TATAAAAGCATCATCGCAAACAATTCCAATGTCTCTTGACAAGTTCGATCCTAATTAGACAGAAACAAGTACCGGAGGCTATGTACATCTTGAAGCGAATCTTAGATACCCTTCGACCTTGATAATTGCACTTAAGTTGGTGTTGTACGTATTTTTTGTTTTTGCTCTCTCAAATCGCTTAAATTTATCAAACGATTGCCGTCACGTGTTATTGCATTTTCACTAGCGATAAGACGAAGAAGATAAACCGTTTCCAAGCTCTTATATATAATTGAAAAATATAATATATTAAATATAAATATTAAGTTTTGTGCTTGTTTGTTGCTTATTATATTTTTGGATTTGGGGCACAAACGATATGACATAGTTAATATATTCATATCCTTTGGTGGATGGGGATGAAAGTATTTTCTGTTTTCATTTTTATCGATCATCATGTTTCAGTGGTAACGGTATATATATGCACTTGGGCTAAGATTAAAATTCATTTCGATTGATTTGTGCACAGAGCAGCAAGATAAACAAGTTTTTTTTTTATTTTTTTCTAAATTTTGTCTTCCACTTTTTGCCTGATTGATGTCAATATCTAGCGAGAAATTACAATTTTCTTCTCTTTTTGTTGTTGTTTTTTTTTCAGAGTTACTCAAATTTTATTCACTATAAATTTATTTATTTTTTTGCATTCCTATACAATTCTAAGCAATATCGATAAAATGTTCGGAAATTTTCTTTTTGTATGGACTTTATTATTTTGCAATAATTACTAAACAACTGCCGTGCAACATGCGAAGATACGATGTAGGGCGACTGGGAAACAAATTTATATAAGATCTCGAGAAGCGTAGAATTCAGAGTCCGCCGTGTCCGACCGTTTGTCTCTCTTCATATGTTGTCCGTTATTAGAATTGACTATTATATTTAGAAAGCACTATTATAATGGGACGCGGGCCAGATCAATTCGTTTAATTTAGATATGGACATAAGGACCTTTCAAAATAAGGCTTTCTATGGGAAGTGGTCGAAAAAATGATCACGTCACCCGAACCATTTTTTAATAGGTGTCGTCCTTGGTTGAACAAAAGAAAGGATAGATAGACGGACCGACAGACAGACAAGCGTAAAAGCTTAAATAAGAGGTGCAGCTATCTCACGTCCTACTTGGCGTTGCATACACCCGAATAAACTTAATCTAACCTTATGTGTGAAATGGTGTAGGATATGAAAGCCTATCGGTTGATGGCAACATTTCAAATTTGGAAGTAGACGTCTTGCGCCCACAATCCAAATGGATCTACGTGCATATCTTGTACAAATACTTTACCAAATTTTGAACGACGAATGTGTTGACGCAGGTATATACAGTTACCGGCCTTACCGGTTATCTTACTCTCCGTCCGTGCTCTTGGAGTAATTTTCACCATTAAAGTGGATAAGTAGAATAAATCTTAGAAGTGTTGAGAAAACATATGCCCATCATTCTCGCACTTCTTCAATTTTTCGGACCCGCGTGCCGACCACCCCATGCGGAATCCGTCTGAACAGGTGGTGATCAGGAGACACCATGTTTATTGAGTACACTGGCCGTGGCAGGGCTTCCCATTCGAGCTGCAACGGTGTATCACTCACACAGCTCTCGTTCAACAAGTTTCCAGAAAATGTCATTTTCAGTTCAATTCGTGTCGCCACATTTAAAGTCACGTTGAAGCCATAACCGATACCATAAGCCTCCGAACGTGTTTGGCTTGTTGGATTTCGACAGCCGATTTCTTCAAATAAACAACATAAGTAATGAATTTGAAAGAAGAAGCATATTGAACGGCGCACGCTGAATATCATCGAATACTTCGAATTCAACCGTTATGTACACTGATGTTTCCCATTTCTTTATCATTTTTACGTGTACAAGTCATTCATAAACATATTTCCAAACACCTAATACATGCTTACACCATGTACATATGTAAGTAATATGTATGTATAATGTGCATTTATTTGTTTTGTCCAAAGAACTGCTTGAAAATCGGGTAATTTGAAAGCGTGCATCTCAGAAGAAAGCATCCCGTGTTTTTCGGGGGAATATTCCTCTCTCCTGTTCACAGCTCTTCTAGCCCAAATGCAAACAGCCGCCTAATGGCAAACAAACAAAAAAAAAAAAACCAAATATAAAGAATTTATTATTTCGCCCTCAATGAACCAGAAATCTTGAAAAAGAAAGTTTGTAAAGTTTGCTGAACACATTTGTCGAGAAAAAATTTAAAACAGAGTCGTGTAGGTATTACACACCATTGCTCGGCATGCAATGCAATTAATCGCATTTAATCTGCGAACTTGATCGATATTTTCTTTGAGTTATTTTGGAGCAACTTGCTGTTTACTGAAATAGAGCTTGATTCTCATTTATTAGGGAATCGCTGCTTTTCACCGTCAATTAATTTTTTTTGTTTTCATTTTAAAAATCTCTTTACGATGCATAACACATATGTGTGCCTACTTTTTACATGAATACATACATACATATATACATACATTCCAGCTTATGTGTGTGTATATTTGTATGTTTATATACACATATATACATACATACATATATACATATATACATACATATATACATACATAAATACATAATTATGTATATAATGAATATGTGCTTTTAATGTGAAACAAGTTTTTATTGCTGCTGATGATTACGTTACACTTCGGCGACTTTAGCTGAAATAACTGTTATAAACGTTGATAGGAAATACAATGCAACGTTAGATCAACTAATAATACTACATCACACTATAATATTACTTTCGCATATGTGATTAATGTCAATCCTCTTTATAAATTATATTCGTATATATATGTATATATATATATATATATATATATATCTGATATCTTTTTAATAAGGAAGGTAAGATTGTCAAAACATTTGCAAAAGGAAATATCAATTTCCTTTTACTTACACATATTGAACGTGCGTATAAATTAAGTTTTTGTTTTTTTTTTTTTTTATGTATAATCAAAGATTGGTATATGAATGAGAAAGATATTGAGAATATATGTAGATATTAGGTTTTGCTTTTTCTCTTAATTAATGAATAAATTTAAAACATGCATAATAAAAATGCCAGACACATTTCTTTCCAAGTTGGGTCGCGACTTTGTGCGCGAGCCAATGCATAATGGACTGGTTCTGGTTGCGTGGAGTACATCGAAATAGCTTCATATCAGCCTTTTAAGGTAAAACATGAAAATTCAATTGATATGGGCTACTAGAAAAACCGCGAAAGAAAAGCGAAAAACAAATATACAAAAAAAAAAAAATAAAAAGCGTACTAAGCGAGCTAAACTGCTGCGCTCCGTTCCTTAGTTTTATATAACAAAGGCAATGGCTTTTTAAGTCAAAACCGCTTCTTTATTAATTGCGGATTTGCGCCATTTAATGATTTCTTTGTTTATTATTATACGCTCAGCTCGTATATTAGTAGCTATAGATATATCACTTGAATGTATGTATGCATTATATATACATATATATATATATATATATGTGGGAGATGTACTTTTCATATCTACGCCATAGGAATAGGGCATGTGGCGAAAATATTCCCGGAATCGCACGTGAGCTAGTTATGTGAGGTAAAAAGTTCAAAGCGTTTAAGCGATTGCTTTAATACGTTTTTCTCAACTGGACAATAAAATAGATGCGTCCTCTTTAAAGCTGTAAAGGTGGATTTGTTGGAATAAATTCAATATATATATATATATATATATATATTAGATAGGTCGAGAGCAGATTTATTCATTTTAGGCAGGAAGGAGGATGGCTGGGCAATCAGCTGCGAAATCAAGAAAAAACGTATAAATTTATCGTCGGTCGCATAACTTTGTCACGAGTGTTAAAAAAACTATTGCTCCGCATTATAATTTTAGCGAAGCGGCGGGATTCTTTCACGCCATCTGGAGCAATCTACAATGAAATTGAAATGAATTTTGTATCAACTGCGAACGTGTTTATTAGAAATCAATTCAGAAAAGCCCTTTGCTCAGAAAAGTTAATTCGGAGAAGGGGAAACATTATGTTCTAGTATCTAAAAATTGATGCCGACCAAGAATCGCTCAAATGTGACGAAACGACGTAACAAAAATAAATTTATTTAAAAAATGATGCGGCGGAAGAAGGGAAAAAATCCCACATTAGATTTACTTAAAGAACAGTGATGGAGCATGACGAAAGATATCTGCCCTTTTTTGAGAGAGTGTCTTAAAAAATCAAAAAACTATAAATAGATTTGCGTATAAGAATTTTGTTCGAAACTGTAATGTTACCGCATGGCAAGGAAAATAAGTCCATGCTATGAAAATTTCAGACAGATATTGATCCGAAGTGTTTAACAATTAATTCGGTGGAAGCGTCGTTCCTGAATTATCTCTTGCATGTCCATTAAATGGGCAGGTAGGTCGCTTTCACGCGGGGCGGGAAGGACTAAAGCATCATGTTCGCTATAGGAACATAAAAAAAAGGGGGAAAAAATGCGCAAAAATATTCAAAAAGTTTCCGATATAATATCCCAGGGGAGATCTGCGATAATTAGTTTCCTTCAGGAGCTGCAGCTGTCGTTGAAAAGGATGGTGGTTACACAAGTTGCTGACCGTTTGAATTAATTGCTAAGAAAATGCTTACTTTTGAGTACAATATCTGGCGTTTTTTTTTGCATGTGTTGTATACATCTATATTACTGTCCACTTGGAAACGCATTGCGGCATTGTTGAAATGAAGTTCTTTTAAGTTTTTGTTTATACGGAAATGTTTTCACTTCATAAAAAAAAAGATAAATGTAATATATATCTATATATAGTAGTAGAAGGACTGTGGAAAATAATACTCTCCCGATCAACATGTACCTATTTTTCTATCCACCAGGGTATATATATATATATAATATATGTTACATTTTTCGCTATCATAACATTGTAAGGTAATGCTTTTCCTATAAATTTCTTTTCAGAGTCGAAAAACAACAACAGCAATATTACAAACGGAATTTCTTATACATTGCACGTATATCTGTATGTATATATTTAAAATTAATAAGTTTGAAATAACATATATTTAGAGGTGAAAAAAAAAGAAAAAGAAAAAAAGAAAAAAAGAAAACCGAGCGAGCCGCAATTATATACATACAGATATTACATAACTCCCCGTCATACATCTACAATCTACAAGGATTACAACAAGGATCATATAACATGAAGCATAATTCATAGGAATATTATGTAAAAATTGAAAATAAATGAACAAAGAAAAAAAAAAAGAAAAAAAAAAGAAAGCTTAAGAAGAACAATTTTGAATACAATAGAAGAGGAGAAGAGAACTTAAACTTAAACTTAAAATAATGAGTGTTATAATACGTTTACAAAACTTGCCGTGGTCGGCAAATGCTTTGGATATACGGCAATTTTTCAAAGGTCTCTCGATACCAGATGGTGGCGTTCACATTGTCGGCGGAGAAATGGGCGATGCTTTTATCGCATTCAGGTAGATATTCGCAACTTCAACTTTATACTTACATAACATCTTAATTAAAAGATGTCCTAAACTTAATTGAATTGTTGAAAGGTAATAAACATTTCCAATAGTCAGTCGAGTCAATCGAGAGTCATCAATAATAATAATGATAATAATAATAATAATAATAATAATAATAATGATGAGAGAAATACAATTCCCCATACATACATCCATACATACATACATACATATATACAAAATGTATATCATTATGTATGTGTATGCGTATGTCACTAGTAAGATTATGTCCATCAAAATCAATTAGCACGATAAACATATAAATAATTTGAAACAAATAAACAAAATTGTGCCAGAGTAATATCGAACGAGAGTTCTGAGCGGTTTTGTTGTCAATCCTAATTAAATCGTGGTGAATACGTGAAATGCAAATGTAAGTTTCCCACCTCATCACATGTGCATATTTACGATTTTCAAAATGTATTTTAATCGTCAAGCTATGGTAAACATATTACATTAGCAAACCAGGAGGAGAACACAATAGCTACTACGAAGTATTTTATGATAGCATATGATAAAGGGTAAGTGTGTGCATCTATTTTTTTTTGTTTTTTTTTTTCACATGCGAACGGAATTATAGGCAGTGCTAACATGCATGCATGAGGCAATATAAAATTCGGATAGTATATGAGACACGCACTTCCATCAATCTTCCACGCGGAACTGTCATCTGATATTAGCTTGCGGAGTCAGAGGCTTCGTTATTTTCTCCCGTCTATTGTTGTTCTGTTCCTTTTCTTTTTTTTTTCTTTTTTCTAGATTTGCAAGCATTTTCATGCAAATCAATTTCTCATACTACTGCCTCACATTTTTCGGGCGGGTAGAATAGAGACTCTGCTGGCGCATCTTTGTACGCGTCATAGTTAATTATTTCCTTCTGATATACATACAGCTCGGATTTACATTTGAATGTGACTTTTTCTTCGGTAATAAGAGGAGAACTTCATATGTGCTCAGGAAATGAATCATCGTTCGATAATTCACGGGAATAAGAAAAAAACTTCTTTTTTTTTTTTTTTGCAAAATTCGATTCCATTCATCAATAGAGCCTCCCTGAATAATAATAAAATCAGTTCCACCAAAGTTCTGTTGCTTTTTTTAGATTCCACTACGGTTGCTACAACGATTTCTGCATTTAATCCAAATTCTATTCCCTGAAGCTTCACGTAGCATTTTTAAATTAAGAATATCTGGGGGAATAAAGCGGATAGAGAATAAGGTGAGTGCGACAGGAAGTCAATGCATGCGCTTTTGCCTTCGCATATGATGTGTTTTTTCCACTGTATGACTAGTGCGAGAGAATGTCTTTCTCATTTCAAAATTTTTATACAGACTTGTGAAAACACAGTCCTCGCATATATTTACGTCAGGTTTCTCTTACAGCTTCACTTTTCCACTAACTATCGAAAATGACTTTTTATTTTTTAACATTTAACCTTTTCCCACCAAAAGCAAGTATTCGCTTAACATATCACATTCGCGTTTTTTCACCATTTTTGCATATAATAAAAGTATGGTAACTAAGGCCATTATAACTCGTAAATAATCAATGAAAATGATTTGAAGAACGACAATCGTTTTCCCGGAAATTATTGATTAATACGTTACTACTGTACCAATTTACTTTCCCATTGGCATAACAAAATTGCGACCTTATGAGAGAGAGAAGGAGAGAGAGGGAGAAAGAAAGAAAGAAAGGAAGAGAATCGCTTCGGCGTACGGTGCTTATAACACTTCTTCGTTAATTGTTAGCCCGTGCGGAAGAAGAGAGAAACGGTCCTGCTATTCTAATTAAAACTGGAACTGGTCTCAAATTAATGTCTGGGTGATCGTGTTTTTCGCTAACTATATATATCGCTAGAATAAGTAAACTTTTAAGTATAAGTTTCCGAATCTTTACGAGCTTTCATTTCAACTGATTTCCTGCATAAACAAAGTGGTCGAGAGCTCGCTAAACAAGCTTTATCACCGCAGTATTAATATTTTTAAAATTCGCTGCACATATCTTAAATCATTTATGGTACAGGGTATGTCTCTAATCGCACTCTCGGGCTTAACTGCAAGGTGCCCGATGGCACGTACAGGGCGGCAATTATTGAGATACTTTGACAAGATTTGCCATGAACGCTATTGGAAATGAATTACACTGGGCCGTTTCTACGACTGCCACCCACATAACGCCTTATTTTGAAAAGTGATAATATGATGAAAAATTGGACTTTTCGAAATCACTGAGCAATAGTGGTTCAATGCATTAATCGATTTGAAAAATTTCAATCGGATACGCTCACGTATCAGCGTTCGTTCAGCGAAACGTTTTATTTTACAATTTTTGGTATTTTATGGTAAAAATCGTTTCATAGTATTAGTTCGACATGGATATGAACTATATGAAATTTCAGCCATATAGGTCTATTTTGTGGAACTTATTCCATATAAGGATTTTCATGTAACGTAAGCTTTTTAAGGGCAAAAGAATCTAATTTGTAATAGTTTATGACGGAAATAGATGCAGAATAATAAGCGGATTAACAAAGAGAATTAATTTTGATAAGTTTGGATCGCATCAGCCTACCGATCAGCTACTACGAAAAGTGCGTCTTTATATGAGACTAAATATTTTTAAATGGGAAATTATATTAAGCGAAGAGAGGTTCAACGCATTTCATTGCCGTCACCCAAGGGCGGAGACATATTCAATTTGTTAAAACGTTACCGTAACACCCCAAAAAAATACTCAGACATGCCGTAAAGTATACGCATTCTTCTTCGTCACTATCGAATTTTGAGTCAATCGGAACACGTCCGTCTGCCTAATCTGTGTGACAAAACCGTCTCCGATTAAAAGCAAGATAAAAACATTATTGCCGACCATTAAATAGCCTACATTACCACGTCTAATAGGGTCCTTGATTAATTTTCTTGTATAAATGCGCTTCTCGTGGAAGCCCTCGTATGGAAGGGCGGCTAATATGTCGACTGCCACATACAATTGAAGCTTTACGGCTATGTAAGGGCTTAATTTTCATGAGAGTACTTATTTATGGTGGGATCTGAAAAATAGATCTTTGTGATGCAAAATTTCTCATTCATTAAAAATTAAATCTTTTTGTTAAAGAGCTTACTATTCATGAGGACCCTTACATAGAATGGATTCCATAAAATAGGATCATGTAGCTCGAATTTGATTTTCTTATTTTTTACGTCATATTTCCAAATATTAAATATTGGACCTTTTTTCTATATCAAGCTTCAGTTTCCATACGACCGTTTATATGGCAAAGGCCTGAAAAAAAATTGCCAAACCCGACCAAAATTTATTATATCAATTTAAAATATCGAAATACCTTTTACTCGGCGATTTTTGTCGGGAAATCTCGATAATTACATTTATTGTTTTTGTAGAGCGATTCTTCAAAATGGGTAACTAGTTATATGGGGCATGGCCCAACTCATTTTGGATAATGTTCATCTTTAATTTGTCTCCGGAAATACGATGTGTAAGTTGAACACAACAATATATCGATCTCAGAAGGATGTACAGACGGACATACCCAGCTTATAATGCTAAATCGATTGGTGTAACAAAATAACGAGTCTATCTGAAGTCCTTCTGCGTTTTACTTGCTTCCGCATAAGCTTAACATACACCCTACAACGAATGGTTAAGCAGTAGAAAAATGTAAATATCGACTTCAGATTTGGCAAAAGCATGGGAAGCTATTGCATACAGGTTGGTATTGATGCGCCTATAATACAATGTACACTCAGCAAATCGATATTTTTTAAAAGTCAAAAAAATTGTGTTCTTGGCTCGGCACTTAAAAATTAAAGCGATAAATATTTCCGCGTATACTCTATGATGTGATGCTACATCATCACCTATACAAATCGAGTACCGAAATTTAGCTTTCTTTCGACTGTTCTCTAAGACAAAAGTTGTAGGTATAGAAAATTCGGTCGCAGCTGAACATGATTTCCTGATTTGCTTTTTATAGCCATTTTTGGTATATAGTTATATAGGTATTGCTACATGGAAAAAATTGAAAATTTTGGCTAAAAGGACTTTTATCGAAAACCGATCTTTACGCGTTTTGCTACCATTAGCTGAATAAATAAATATGAAAACTTTATAATTTACTATCAGACTGGGGTATGTTCAAACAGTAACTAGCGACGTTTGAATCTAAAAGGTAAAATTTGCAAACTACCTCAACTTATTTCATTTTCGTATCTACAACGCGTTAAACCCTACCCGTTATGCTATTAGGCTATCAGTTTGAATGAAGAGAAAGTAGAAATACTTTGGTGAAGTTAAACCGAACTCATGTTGTTCATATTGTTCAAGTGGTTAATATTACTACTTAAGGGCTCAATGCCCTTCTGGTCTTTCTACTCGTGCTATCAAAAAAATATTAATAGTTCAGGAGTAGCTATAGTTTCTCGTAGTATCTCGTAATGTCATCATATTAGAAAATTAAGTTTAAGGAGCCTATGGAGTATACAGCCACCTTGTAAATGCATAAGCAACAAATAATCCAACAAAGTTAAAATTGGTGGGAAGTTGCTGACTCAATATTTGTGAAATTTCAAATCGCCAGAATCGCACCACTGATCAATCGAAAACATTGTGTTATATATAAATAAATAAAGTTATTTCCACGAAATGTTTTTCAAAGAAACTAGATTTGATCGTTAGTCAAAAAGGCCGATATTAACCACTTAAATGCACTACCTTATGATATTGTAATATATAAAAATATGTTGTTAAGTAGTTAAGTGCATGAAGAGTTCATAGAAAATAAGTAAAAACACTATAGTGGAACACAGCCAGCCGACCGTTAAATACCCTATATCATTTCACTTAACACACTTATACATGAGAGATTATATGGGAAGTGGTCGAACGAGCAGTCCGATCCTTGGAACCTTTCATTTTCAATAGCGTTTGCCCTGGGTAAACGCATGTCGGACATTGAATTTCATGAAAATATCTTTAAAATTTGCCAACCGTAAGTTGGGCTTTGGGAGAACAAGGGCAAGAACAGACGGACAGGCAAGGTTCGACGGATTCAGAAGCTAATTCTGAATTGATCTTTTTGCTAAAATGTGCGTCCTCCTCGGTATTGCATTCATCGGCACCTAGCCTTGCACCACAAGCGGTGTAGGGTATCAACACTCGTTATTGTTGATGAAAGGAACATGACTCCGTCTATACATAATGCTTTTATTTACCGGGCATTTAAAATTTCATTCATTTGCATTTATGCAACATCCATTTAGTAAAAGCGTTTCCATCGCTGGAGGCATCTTCTTTTTTTTTGATCACTAACACTTCCGTTTGTTCACGTGTTTGTTTGTAATGCATTTGTACCTCGTCAATGTCCAAGTAGTCTCAAATTTTTTGTGACCCTTATATTTGGTGACGCAGTCTGCACTGAAATGTTAACATTACTAGAGAAATTCCTTATAAAAGTGCGTTTAGCTGTACATTGTTAAATAAAAATTTTTTACTCGAAAATAAAAAAAAATGAAAAAAAGCATTTTACTGCTTCTTAGTGTGAAATTGATCTGATCCATTATATTCGATTTTGTGTCTGTTAGTGACACATGCAAATGAGACTTTTCTACAACGGCCAGAAGATCTGATTTTCGACGCAAACCGTTATCTCTCCACGAATATATAAAATGATATAAAGATCTTCAAATACTGCGTAATTGAAAATGCATCTGAAAAAAAATGTGAATATATTTTTACATATGTATCCATACAATGTATATTTCCTGTTAGTGGACAGACGAGATGACAAAATATTGTCCAGTCAATGTTCGGTAACGGAGATAAAGTAGGGTCAACGGTATTCAATGAAAAACCATTTTCTAATAAGTAAAATATCGCCGAAACTAATCCAACTGCAGTATTCAGTGCAGCCTTCATAATATTAGGGGTGTAAATAAATTCAATCACATTGATTGTACAGCATCATTCATCAGCCATCGAGCTATTTTCGAACATCTTCAACTTCTGCGAACCGATGACCTGGTGCATCGATCCGGAATAGATCAGGGGTCTGCATGCAGGGCGCGGTAAAATTTCCCAGCCTTAAGGTGGAAATTGTTTCTTTGATTGTTGCTTCGGCTAAGAATGTTCATATATAGGCGAATTGCAGGATTTTCAAGACCAAGACCAAGATTTCTCGTCCAGAAATCGTGCGAACCGCTCTTTCACGCTTCCACTAATATACTGAGTTCTCACTCCAGGCCATCCTAATCAGTTCAGTATGCGTTTTAACTGCTCTTGTTCCCACTTCAAAACAGCACGAAATGCAATGCCGGCAAAGGCATTCCCCTCTTTACATTTTGTTATACGCTAAGCGACAGCTTGAAAAAAACTGACGCATACATCGTTCCAATGTTAATATCTAAATTGTCTACGCCTGGAACGAACTTTGGGAAAATTGAACGCAGCAAGCACATTTTGTGAAGCAACCAATTTCAGCGGAACGAATTTATTTACACACCTAATACCAGGAAAAAAAAATTTTTTTTTTTTTTTTTTGTAAACATTAATCATCCCCCACCCTTTAGCCTTTTCATTAAATCTTTGTATAGCAGAAGTCGAATCAAAATATTGGCGCTAAAAAGAAAACAAAAGCAGATATTTTGCCCCATTTTTAACGACAATAGAGGAACAAGGTCAAATGTAACTACAATCTCGCACTGATCTTAGATACATTTACTTATAGCACTTATAAAGGATAGTGTAATCCAATTGATGGATATAACGAACGATCCGGCATCAAATAAAATGGAAAAAAAAATTCTTTTTGACATTTTTTTAAACGCTCATCTGCATACACACACGGATATATCTAAATCTATATTAGATAAGGCACACGTAAGAAGTATCATAAGATTTAAATTAAGCTAAATACGATCTTTATCGTCTTCTCCTAACATGATCTTATAATTGACAAAGCATTTCAAATCATCAAGATTAACCGACGCCTTATAAAACGCACTAAGACTATAAGATATTTATTATTAACATAACTCGTACTTAGGAATATTCAGTTCATCTTCGCTCTCGATACTGTCACGTGTCACATTAATGTCACCGTTTGTATTATTTTCATCTGAACTATTTTTGTCATTCAAATTTAGAGACGATTTATGGGAAAAATTTGAGCCCATTTCTCTCGTCCGAGAAATATACGGTAATCGAAATAATCTTTACAATCGACTTTCAGCTAACTATAGAAAGAAAATGCTTGTATTAGCTTTTTATTTTTTTTTTATTTTTTTTTTTTTCTACTTGTTGTGGGCGTGATTGTTAATGGATTGCATACGAAATTTGATATGCAAGATCTCAACTTTCCATCTCGAAATGGCACGTCGATATGATTAAATTAATTGAAAATTCTTTGCGATAAGGCTTGTTCCTCATTTCTGGATGGACAGACGGGGAAGATCAATTAAAAAAAAAACAGAAAAAAAATGTGCTTTAAGAGATCTTCGACATGTACTGGCCATCCTCTCAAATATAAGTTGAGAAATTTAGGACCTACTCCAACATATCTAGAAGATACGACTTTTCGCACTAACCTTAATTCCCGAACAAAAGCTAAATACTTCGTGTTTAAACAAATAATCGGGCTAAAGCCCAAGTAGTATTACTGCGTGAATGTTTTCATTTCCTGATTGTTGCTTAAATTATTAAAAATAAAATTGAAAGAAATAAAGCGGTTGTTTAAATGTAAATGCGGTGAGTATGAAGAGATTATACACACACATTTATGGAATGTGATGGTTCTTGACAAGTTAAATGACGATTGGATTGTTATTATCTTTCACTTAATTTAAGGTTAACGCTGTTTGCGTAAAATCTTTGAAAATTAGTTCACATTTAATTTACTCCCTTTTTTTTTGCCTTTTTACAACTTAATTATATATATGTAGCACTGATGAGGACGCACGGCTGGCAATGATGCGTGATCGTGAACTTATAAATGGTGTGCAAGTTCGCCTATTATTGTCTTCGCGTGCTGAAATGCAAAAGGTTATTGAAACAGCACGTCAGCAATCATTGTTAGCTCTTAAGAGTGCGGGCGCAGTCATTACACCAAAAGTAAATACGCCTTCAGTACAAACAGTTACAGCAACTGTAGCAACTACCGCACCGATCCCACCTCAACCACCCGTGATTACCGCTAGTAGTTTTCAAAGCATCCTTTCGACATCATCGTTTTTAGCGTATCAACAGCAAGCGGGAATTAAGCTAGCGCCTGATCCGATTAATAAACATCCAGATGAATCAGTGGCTACTGTGCAACATAATACAGTAGAAACGAATCCCACCAGAGAGCGTCGCCGATCAAGTTCCAGAGACCGCAGACGGTCACGGTCCCGATCAAGGGAACGTAGTTCGGGCAGACGTCGACGTGAACAAAGTCGTTCCCGGTCTCGAGAACGTGAATGGAGAAGCAGCAGACGATCTCGTAGATCTCGCAGCAGAGAACGCAGTCGTGATCGTAGCCGCGAACGTAGCCGCGATAAAAGTCGCGACCGCTCCCGTAGCTTACGCAGCAGCCGTGATTACGATCGGGAAACGCGATCTACTAGCGCTCGTGTTTCCGACCTCGAAAGTAAACCAAAACAGCCACACATCTCGCCATGGAGCATTCCTTTAACGAACACATATCAAAATAATTACAGCGTGGAAGCGACCAATTCTCTAGGCAATCTCTCTCAGCTAAATCAGACCACTAATATTGGTAGTGCGTCAAGCACAGAGCAAAATTTAAGTAAATCCATTGATAATTTAAGCAGCACACTACAGGCCAATGCTACGACCACTTGTTTAACAGCATTTCAAAACTGCACCACAGACGAATCAAGAACGAAATTATCGTCAAATAACAATAATTACAGTTTAAGTAATTTCCTGACTGGTTCCAATACTACTGATGTTTTTAAAAGCTTTTCACTGCAAAATCCCTATACGACGCTAAGTACAAGTACGGCCCAAGATCCATTGAAAAGTTCGGTTACGGCCGTAACGACAAAAAGCTCCACAATTCCGGGAATTTTTGTTGAGAAGAAGTCGGAAGTTAACGCGCCAGCGACAAATATATTTCCAACCGTTGTGACCTCCGGCAGTTTACCTCAGGAACCAATTACCTTCGCGAGCACGAATCCGTACGAGAAAATGTATCCGACATTATTTGCGCAAGCAGCAGCCCTAAACAGCGGCCAAAAGTTGCAAACAAATACAAATGTGCAAACTACGATAGCAGAATCAAATCCACTGCCCATTGGTGATAATAAACACAAAGAAGTCGCTACAACCTGTATCAAAATAACGAATATGTGTGGGAGCACTACTTATAGCGATTTGCGAAAATTTTTCGCAGGTTTCTTTATACCGCATAATGGCATCAAAATGATCAACGATAAACATGGTTTACGAATTGGTGTCGCCTATGTGCAGTTCTCACGTCAAACTAGTGTTCCAAAAGCTTTATGCAGAAACAATACTATGCTTAAGAATAAACTTGTCAATATTGTATCCGTTTCTGAGGACGAATTCGACAAGGCCGAAGATAGTTACCGTCCAATGCAACGAGACAAGTCACATTACAGTGGGGACCAGGATGGTAGCAATTATTCAAATGATTCTACGACAGGTAGTACGGGTACGAGTCAGGGGAAAAATCAACCCTATAGCGTGCTCTATATTGAAGATATCCCTTCACTAGCCACCGAACAGGATATTATGAAGATGTTTAGCTCATACACTTTGTACGATATTCTGCTAATATGCAGTCCGGAAAATAGACGAGAGTATGTGGCCTATGTGCGATTTTCGCGAGAAGAAGACGCGAAGGCAGCTTTTGAAGATCGATCAAGGCATCAGATTGGTTATCGGAGAGTGCGTGTACGTCCCGGCGATTTAGAGGACATGGAAAGAGCCAAAGAGAAGATTCGCCTGGCCAATGAACAACTAATAAAGGAGGAACAAGCTGCAGCGGAAGAGTTGGCGAAAACAAAAGAAAAAAATAAGAATATAGAGAATGAAAACATGAAAGAGGTGGAAAGCATGGATTTAACAAGAGATGATGACGATGATGACAATATTCTAGCCGCTCATCAGCAGCAGAAAACTGAGAATGAAGGAAATGACGTTGAAATGAGCAATCACCAAAATCTTGAAAGAACTAATCCATCTGAGGAGAAATACAACAATTATGGCGCTGGAAACGAATATGACAAATCGTGCATAGATGCCGTAAATTATAATAAGGAATCAGATTCTAGTAGCGCTCGAAACGGCGTCCCCAGCCTGTTTGACTTAAATTTGGACACGCGTAAAGAAGTCAGAGAAAATGCACCTAACGATCCACGTTTAAGAAAGCAGCGCGAATCTACAGATAATATATCATGCTCCCAGGGTCAATCTTCTAACCAATCAACCAATAATAACTTTAATAATTTCAATCCAAGTTTCAATAGCCAGCAAAATGCAGGACAATACTTTTCAAACAGTATAGAGAAGAATTTTGTAATTTTAAAGAATTGTGAATACAATACGCGTATTAACGACGTAGCTCAGCTATTTTTGTCGGGAAATTTGGCTTTAAAGCACGTTGAGCTTTTGCGTAATGAGCGCCAACTCCCCACAGGAGAGTTTATTGTAGAGTTTCGTAAAACGCAGGATGCCGATGCGGCTGTTAAGAACTTTCATAACATACAGTTTCGTAATCGCGGTTTGCGCGTGTACCCGATAACACCTCAAGCAATTGCAGATCGCTTAGGTAAACCATTTCTGCATTATTTTCCTGGTGGCAATGGACCACGCATAAACGATAGCGGCAACATAAATTATAGTTCGAATCAAGATAATTCCAATAGTAATTTCCCGGCAAATTCATTGTTTAATAGCCGGGGTGGAATAAATAACGCACGCGGCAGCGGAGGTAATCCGTTCAGTGGTCCAATGCGTAATATTGGAAGGCATGAGCTTTCAAATGATGGGACAGGTTCAGGCAATGAAAATGAAGGTAGTGGTACTGGTATACCGGAAAAGTTTAATCGTCCTGGTTGTGTCCTTGCCATGGAGAATGTCCCATATAAAGCACAAATCAAAGATATTTTATATTTCTTCAATGAATTCGACTTAACGCCCGATGACGTTATACGACGTTTCAACGATGATGGTTCACCTACAGGAGACGCGCGTGTAGCATTTGCCACAGCGGACACAGCAAGAGCAGCATTTACTTCAAGACGGCGTAAACAAATTTTTAAACGTACCATACATTTAAAAATTCTTTAAGAAACTCGATCATCTCGGATTAATGGATATAGATAAAATGCATATACATTAGGTGGAAGGATATCATTATCATATGCTTGCGTATTACCAAAAAAACACAAAACTGATTATTTTGGCAAATAATTCCAATTTATTATCAAAGCTTAAAATTGTTTCGCTAGCTCCAAATAATGCCTACATTGTTTTAGATGTAAAAAGTAAAAAGGCTATCGTCGCCTTACGGCGAATCTGATTATCCTTCACATAATGCAGTTTTTATTTGGAATGATGAATGAGCGCCTTTAATTAGAAAGGAAGATTGATTGGTTGGGGATCATTCTTTCAATGAAAACTTGCATAAAAGTTGTTTTGGTTTTTTTTTTTTTTTGCAATGGCGGCTATATGTTTTAGACTCATTTGTAGACAGAGTTGAATGAAATGGAATCAAAAATTTGAATAAGTAACTGTACTGAGTTGTTGTTATTGTTTAGTTCAGATTGCAGAAAGTCGAGATGAAGACGTAGACAAAATTAGGCAGATTCGAATTTTTACGAAGAGCATATATGTAATGAATATGTGTAAACATATGTATATACTTGGCGGATGATGGCTACAAAAATAAGATAATAAATAAATGGATTTCTATACGTACCTATAGTCCTCCTTTTTCAACAGCTTATATATGAATGTATGTATTGGTAGTGGAATAGAACAAAAAACAAATTTTCGCACATACGGATATGTTTATTATTATTATTTCTTAACTTGTTATGAAATATTAAAAATATTCCCTCAGCCGTTATATTAAAAGGTAACCTTTACAAATTTCTAAGCTGTATAAGATTAGATTTCTTTAAATATTCCCTACACAAAGGACATTGGTCCCGCTCGTCTAGCCAATCCAACAAACAATTCCAACAAAATAAGTGACCACAAGGTGTTAATGTGGTATTTATACGTGGCTCTAAGCACAATGTACATTTGGGTCTACTCAAGTCGTCTTTCTCTTCGATAACTTTCTCATTTTGAAGCGAGCCTTTCGAGATATGTAAGGACTGAAGCTGTTTGCGTTTGTGTTGACCCCAAATGTCGTAAAGTATAGACGCTAATGATAAACTAACTTGTACAAAGGTAATTATGCCTAGAATCTTATATCCATATAATGAGAAGTGCGGTTGCAGCCAATGACGTATAAGTACATAATTTATACCCGTTATACGTTTAGATAGTTGATATTTATTACATCGTAAGTAAAACCACGATTTGTGCAATGCTTTAATAAAAGCTGGAGAGCTGCTCATAGCTTGCACGATAGCTATTAGTTTATTTTTAGCTTCAGGTACTATTTCATCATTATCCTTGATACATTTTTCTAATATTTGTAGCGTTTTCAAATATAAAGCTTCTCCCCCAAATTCCAATATAATTGCGGCTAATTGAAGCTATAAAATGAAGGTAATTTAACCAAAAGCACACGATTACTCGAGACAACTTACTAATTTTGAAGGAATATTTCTGTACTGAGAATCGATTTGTATGATGCCAGTGTATTCTTCACCTAATGTTTGTAGATTATTCAAAGATGCAAAGCCGTGATAACTAATCTCGGCGATTAATTGGCACAATTGATTGTATTTTATCCAATTACGGCGTCCTGCCAAACGTAATAAATCTGAGATATCCCCCGCTAATTCCTTTGTATAACGGTCATCCTTCTGAATGGAACGCACGATTTCTGGTTGACGGGCACGAGCGTTTCGAAAATTCATTCTACTTAAATTCCTTTTAAAATAGATGGTACGTATGTGGAAAAAGTTTCAAAAAACACTTACAATACTAACAATGTACGTGTGTGCGTAACCGGTCATAACCACTGATACCAAGCTGTAAAACTTACTGTCAACTTTCGAAACTCATTTTTTTTTTGCTTAAATAACAATTATAATTAAATAATATTAATTGTAAGAAAACTTCACAATTTATATTCGGATTTACTAATAGTCCGTATGAGAAAAATTCAACCAATTTCAATTTTAAATTCCATAGCTAGTTCACTCTTCACAGCAAAGAGAAAGCAATTAATATGATACATAATGCAGTATTTGTGACTTAATGGTTATGCGGGCTGTTATTTTTAGTTAAAATCGTAACACGGCAAAAAAAATATTTATTTTATAAAGAGCGTGTACATGTAATAACGCACAACATTTATTTTACTCCCAACATCTCTAATCTTAAAATGCAGTGTGTTTTATAATTTTCACGGACATTTTCTAGTAACTTGGCAACTGTGGTATAATAATGCAACCCTGCTACTGTGTCGCCATTTTCGCAATCATCGGGTCTAGTTAGTTCGGATTTTCCATCATATCAAACTTCTTATTATTCTGAGAAGCATAAGAAAAATTTTCCAACATATTTGAAGTGAAGACGTACTTTAGCACCTCCTTAATACGGAGAAATAAAATTTCAAATTGCAAATAATTGGAAAGTTGTAATTTTGATTATTAAATTAATCTCAATTTAAGAGACGACGTCATCTGCTTTTCGTACACACAACATCTTCGTTCGTGTGTCAAGAAGAAAAACGGGAATTTAAACTTTTTCGTTTATTGCAAATCAAAAAAAAAAAAAAAAAACAAAAAAGTTCCTTAAAATCTATACGCGTGTATTGTTATTTTCTATTCTGTGTATTTTATAAACATGGCTCTGTAAAAATGTATAAACTTAAATTAATAACCGTTTATCAAGCTCCATGTGGAGACAAATTGCGTCGCAATAAATCGCCCAAGACGTTTAAAGGTAGTGGTGATCGTAGCAGTTATAAGCATTTCAGGAAAATTTATCAGCATCGTTCGCAACTCACTACTCACATTTCATCGTTTTCATCTATTTTCTGTTATAACGACAATAACAACAATAACAATGGACAACAACAAAAAGCAACAGCAAAATTTTTCAAGAACTGGCAATGCGAAATCAACTCATTCGTCAACTGATTGTAATCGACAAAAGTCATCATCAGGTTTGTAAAACCGTAGATTTCTCTTTAATTGACGGTATTTGATATTGTTAAAATTAGATTTACAAGCAACCAAGAATTGGCCTAAAAACTCACGACGCCGGGAAAATCCGTTTACATCTGCGCGAAATAATTACAGCAATAATAACAGTAAACAATATACTTCCGCTAAAGTCCGTCCAAATGTGGACAAAAGACCTCGCGTTCGTGGCTATGCTAATAATGGAACTGATTCATATCGTAATACAAATCACGATTACCTTGCTTCCAGCTCCGGATTAACCGCTAGCGAAACTGCGCCTAACGCCTTGGCCTTGGGACCAGTTGCAGGGCGATATGAACACATCGATTATACTCCTGGGAATAAGAGGCAAAATCTAAATCATTTGCTAAATTTCTACTACACACCTCGTGAAGTCGACTATTCTGATAGTTTTGGTTACGGAGGCAGTAGTGGAGGTTACACGCAACGGTATGCTCACAACAAGAAGCAAAAATATAATAAGGAACAATTCTTGCAAGCCAAGTATGATTCAGACGAACGTGTATGCTGTGCTATTTTTAATATTAACTTGTTTTTCATTATTTAGTTTTCAATTTGTTATTAAAGCGTCTGCCAAACCCAAAACGGACGATTCTCCCGATACTTTGATTGATTGGTCTTTGATTGAGCAAATCAATATACAAACGCCAGAAGAGACTCAATGTCCAATTTGTTTATATCCTCCAATTGCCGCTAAAATCACTCGTTGCGGCCACGTATATTGCTGGCCTTGTGTTTTACATTATCTTTCATTAAGTGACAAAACTTGGCGAAAATGTCCAATTTGCTATGAGGCCGTGCATGTGGAAGATTTGAAAAGTGCGGCTATTATGCAACAGCAAACGTATAATATTGGTTCGCAAATAATATTTCAATTGATGCGCCGCAAAAAGGGATCTTTATATATTGAAAGGCACAATAATTTGATGCCTGAGACGTTGAAAGAAAAATACCCTTACGTCTCTGGTCAAGCAGACAAAAAATTCTCTAAATTTTTATTGGCTAAGCGTAGTGACGTGGCTGATATATTAGATAGGGAGGAACATGAATTATTGTCCAATGTTGATGAATCGTGCCCTGAATACGTGTTTATTCTGCAGGCCTTAGAACTCTTAAAAAAACGGCAACTACTTAATAAAGTAGCAGATGAAAAAGACAATGATTTTGAAGTAGCCGAAAACTCTCACTTGCAAATTGAAACTGAAGTTATCGACGATCAAAACGTCAAACTTTTTGAGAAAAGTGAAGAGCGTGCAACGAATGATGAAATTTTAACCAAAGATAAAACTTTGGAATCTATTACTAGTGCAGTAGTTGCATCCACTATAAAATACTATTACTTTTATCAATGTGAAGATGGTCAGAATATTTATTTACATCCATTAAACGTTAAAATGTTGCAAGCATGTTATGGCGGCCTGGCTGGTGGTCCCGCTGTTATTAAAGCGCAAATACTGCAGAAAGAACATCATTCTATGGATGAAGACCATCGTCGCAAATTCACTTGTTTAAGTCACTTGCCCTTGACATGTCAATTCATAGTTGTGGAAATTGAATTATTGCCACCTTATATAACTGAAGAAATCATGGATGCCTTCAGAATTGATGTTCTCTTTCGCAAAAAGGAACGCCAACGGCGAGCACGAGAGGAGCGTGAACGTGAAAAGCAAATAAACGCAATAAACGATCGCCAGATGGGGAAATTAATTGCTAGTACAGCCAATATTAATCTTAGCTCTGCTCAAGAGTTTCCAACAGTAAGAGAGATTAAAATAATTCTCATATTCAATATGTACGATGATTTGCTCTTGATATTCTATTTCAGTGTGGCTTTGAAGAGCCTTTAACCCCAACAATTGATATTGGTGCCGTTGTTGCCATAGATAGCGACACGCCTACAACTTCTACCAATGAACATCGACATCGCATCAAAACCCATAGTGCTGGCAGTGTAGGCAGTTGCAGTTACTCAGCTATTGCTTCGCATTGTCAACAAGAGCATTCTCCTTGGGCCACCGTCAACGCTATTGAATTACAAAAATCATGCAATGTTGACATTAAATCTAGCAACGACGACGATTCTTCCGTTCTAAATAATTTACACACAAGCTTTGGTGATGTATTGGCCCAAGCTTTTTCTGCCCAAAAGCAAGATAAGAAGAAATGCAGTAAGGTTGAAAATGCTCCCACCAATGTCAATAGTAAGAAATCTAAAAAAGTGAAGAAGATGCTTCCCCTCTATTCCACTGGCATGAATTTTAATGGAAACTAAGCCATATTATTCTTGTAAATTTGGAATATAAAAAAATTTGCCTTTCGTTTTTTTTTTTTTTTTTACAGATATTTCTTTGTTTCAAGATGTTTGCCTATCTATATGAGAGAAGCGAACATAAACGAATATTGCTTGATTGTTTTATTTTCTTCTTTTTAAAGAATATCTTGCAGTATTTCAAAAATAATTAACTAATCATTCAATCACTTCTTAAAAACACAATACATCCACATATACACTAACTAATTTACAATAAAATTGAATTTGATCAGAAATCATCATTTTTTATTTCTAAGATTTTGGTAGTATTCAAAATTGTTTTCATAATCAGAGAATTAGCTTCGGTAGTAGATGTGTTAACGTTATGCTAATTAAACGGTGCTCGTTTTCTGAGGACCGTAACAATCTATGAGAATAATTTAGTAGGGAAAAATTTCTTGCTAAACCACTTACTATAATTATCTTAAATGACAATTGGAAACGACTTGAAAGTAAAACCGTCCTGCAATGTGTGTCTCTCAATTGATAATAGGTGTTGCATTACGGAAGATGTATGTATGTATGTTTCTGATGAATAATAATTAAATTGCTTCGAGGTTCTTACATTAACTTTTATCATGAGGAGCTTATTATTTATTATCTGTAGCCAAAGACATCGCATAAAAATAGAGTTTGGGATAAATCGGTCATTTATTTATTTATTTATTTATTCCACTTATACAAGAAACTCAACTAAAACAAATTGGCAGTCGAGTTCAATTGACTCTTAAAGTAAATTTTAAGTTAATTAATATTAAAACTTAGTATTAGTGCAATAAAACGAATAAGAAGGAAAAAACAAGAAAAAAGAAAAAAGCATGTACACAACCAGCACAGAGCCACATTTACAACCGGTACAGGATCAAATTGCAAATGAATCCCTAAACCATCGCAAATATGCATAAGCTTGGCAACCGATAATGGTTAACGACAATTCATTTTCGACTCATCGTGACATTTCAAGGTTAAGAGCTAGTTTAAGTACGACGTAGGTAAATTACGCGCATTAAGAAATGTTACTTTAGTGGACTTTAAAGAATCCGATAATGAGAATAAGTGGTAGACATCATTTAGGTTCTTGTAAACAACTCTGAGCGGGTTAAACAGCTCATAATTATATTTACATTGACTAAGCTTAACCAAGGTAAAGTGCCTAGAGAAACGGTTAGGGACATTAAAACTTATTTTACCAAGTAATGCAGGCGAGTCAATAGCACCATTTATTACTTTGATTACGAAGGAAACGCCAAGAATAGATCTACGTTTTTCGAGACACGATAAGGACAACGGAAGCAACGTATTTTCATTGGGGTAAGAGAGCCAATCGGATCCCAACCCAAATTCCAAAGGGCAAACAGCAAGAATTGCTTTTGAACAGATTCAATTGAATTTACATAGCACCTATATGAAGAAGACTACACAACAGAGGTATACTCAAGTATAGGTCTAACCAAACACATGTAAAGCCTTTTCGTAATATAAGGATCATCAACCTAGCTTTGCTTAGCGAGAGCTCAATCTGCAAATTGAAACGTAACCTATAATCAAATAGAACGCCTAAATATGTGATCGAATCGACGTCTTCCAACTTGTGCGAATCAATGAAATACTGAGTAATGAACGACTTTCTTCTTGAGAAAGAAAGCTTCTTACATTTATTTAGATTTAGTTTCAAAAGATTCAAAGAGCAAACAAAGATGAAGAAAACAGTTTCACATCATCAGCATATATTAAAATCTCGCTGAATTTAGTCACGGAAGCAAATCATTGATATTTAAATTAAATAAAATGGGACTTCAGTGGCTGCCTTGAGGTACACCAGATGTCAGGGAGAATTCATTTCAGGTAATGAAGTTAAAAAGAACCCTGAAGGATTTGTTGTGCAGATAAGAGCTTATCCATTTGACTAAATTGAAAGGGAAGCCAAAGGCTTGGAGTTTAAGGATAAATAATTTATGGTAGGACTTGCCGGCTTATTTGTAACCTTTTTGTTACAGACCGACTCAGCCATATCAGAAACGCTGACGTACCACGCGCTAAGCTACGAGTTGTGTGTTATAGATTGGGTTACTAGACAAAAATCATTAATAAAACAAGTAAGAAAATTATATTTGGCGAGGCCTAACCAATGTTTCTACCAGCTTCGAAGTCAATATCTTCATTTTTGCGACCAAGAAAATACCAACCACATAGTACCACATAGGCGGACAGATATGGGCTAATCACTTCAGAATTTAACGCTGATCAAGAATATACATGCTTCACATGACCTCTAAAACTTACATTTGGGTGTTACATACATTATGGGAAAGAATAAAATGAGCGTACTTCCACCCGTCAAGGGTCACTGTTCAATTGTCACAAAACTTGTGCTTGTGTTTGTTTATCATCGTTTCTGTCACTTTGTTTAAAATAACTAAAAACCCTCCTATATCAATTTTACGTTAAAAACAGGGCACATTATATATGACGTAGCTCAGTTTCATTATCGAGTTTTTTGTAATATGCATGCATATGTGTGAGAAACGCTCTCTCATATCTTTCAAATTGCGCGCCCAATAGCCCACGTTTTGCGTTAGTTAAGTTTTCAGACTTAATGTAAAGTTGCATTTATAAGAAAAATCGCTGCAACTTGAAATTATTTATTTTCAAACAGCCGCACCAATACAAAATTCTTCATATCTTTTTTTTTACTTTTTACCCCAGTTATATAATTGATACTCTTAATTCGCTAAAGCTTGTAATCAACTCTGTACCATCAACCTTACCTTACATCATTATACACCGTCGCTATCATTGATAAAGCACAAAGTGTCAACAATAACAACTCACTCTATTTTACTATAAATTAGATAGTCGACCTCTATTTATATGATACAAATGCATGTAAGGATGAAATGGATAGACATAATATTTAAAGTTCATATTTCAAGGTTTTCCAAAAAGTAGACATATCCAAAAAAATGAAAACTGGGTTAATTTAATCTGAATCTTCTTCATTTTCAAATTTACGTAGTCGAATTAAATCATTCTTTTTCTTGGCTACCTATAACTTTCCTTTCCAAACTTTCTGGTCTTTTCATTATTATATGCACTTACTTTTATTTCTTAATTGCTAACCAAATTGATCGCATTGTGCGAGCCGCATGAGTGGTCAAAATAAAATAAGTATTTCGAGCTAAATTAAGCTAAACATAGCCTAACATAAATTGTACATAATTTTGCATTTATTTCATTTTGTATGCTTTTTATTGTTTACCATATGTAGTTTGTTTGTACAAAACAAACGAATGCCAATTTGTCTCTCATTTTTTACGTTTCTCTCAGGTATTAATGCATTTTAATGAAATATTTGAGGAGAAGGTACCAACCATGTACTTAACTTCTTGACGATAATCAATTGTTTCCTAAAAAAAACAGGCGATAATTGCCTTCTTCCGACTACCGTCACGATTGCGTGTGGATGTACATATAAGTTGTGTTGCACTGTGCGTGAAAGCAAATTTTTAAAAAAAGTTCGTCTTATATGAACAAACGCTAATCACAAGATGTTTTTTTAGCAGGTCACGCAAAATAAATGTTCAACTGATTACTGAACCGACATAACGCAAACATTATGTTCGGCAATTTACTTGGTTTGGCAAATACAAACAATTTTTTTTCTTTTGGTAACAATGTTTATTATGTTTAACAATGTTTTATTATTTCGTTTCATTTTATTAATAATTTTATATAATTTTGTTTTTATCTATGTTTATATGATTTCGTTATTAATTTGTTTGTAAACAAATTTATTTGCCTCTTATCTTTCCTTTACATTTTTGAAATAAATTTCGAATAGCGAAAGCCATATATAATTTACAAATAAATGGCTTTCAAGGTATGTGGTCTAAGTGTCAGCCAGTTAACTAAAAGATAATCACTGCCCAGGGCTGTTAACTTGCGACATGACATTAGAAAAAAGAGCAAATTGAAGATAAATTTTAGTTTAACATTAATGCTTAAGCTTATTTTAAAGGTTTGGCAAGTTTGTAAGCTACGATCTAATGAAATTAATTAGTAAATATATTATTAAAAAGAAATAAATAAAGTTATTCTCTTTTATTGATCTAACTTTGCTTATTTCTTAGAAAATTTCATTTTTTTCATTTTCTGTACACTATTCTTTCATATTTTCCTTCAATTTTTAAAATCTTTCTTCACACCGGTACGCTGTTATACTCTGTTATTATAATAAAAATGTCTATTGACTTGTTGATCGTAAGTATGTCAGCTTTTTAAATGCATGAATATCAACAATGCAAAAAAAGATAACGAGACCGGTTTCACTCTTATTTGATAGAAATATACAGTTTGTGATCAGTGATTGTGATGCTTCGCTTATTCTTTTTCGGCACCTTTCAGGGGTTTTTAGTTCAATTTTAACGCAATTTCAGCGCGGAGCCTTCAAAGTACTTACGTTTGAAATTTTCACCTTGAATGTCAAGATTGCAAAGAGTGATGAGAAATCAATTACAACCTTATACACAGTGATGCCGAATTAATCTACTATATGTAAACAGCCATCAAAAATATGTAATCTTTACAAAAGAGATTTTAGCTTAATTCTGAGTTTTGTTTTCATATTCAATAGCTATAAAAATGACATTATTCATAGTAGGTTAACGGAGTTATTAGGAAGCAAAATTTGCTGTGATCTTTCAGTACTAGCGCTTTTCTTATTCACCTTTTGTCCACTAAAAAAGAGAATATCCAGTTTGCTTAACTTAAGGTAGTATCACCTTAACAATTCTTCAATCATTGTCACATAAGCGATAATTATTTCATTCAACGTTAATATCAAATCCATTACAATCGGAAATAGCTTTTCTGATGAAAATGTTGTTTGTCAATTATTCGGCGATTATCTGAAAAGAAAAAAACGCTATCATCCTGAACAGAAATGTCCTACACGGAAAGGAAATGCCCCAAAATCTGTAAGAAAGTCAATACAAATATTTATTTGAGCCACATAGAACTTTCAGACGAAAATGATCTTAATAAGGTCTCAATGCTTTAGAACTTAAGAACAAAATTGTGTAATATGTGTCCAAAAATTTAGATCAACGCATCTACAGGTAAAAACGATAAAGAAATAGGAAATACCACGCTGTATAACGGTCGGATTCGATGTATTCAATGGTATTCAGCATACGCCGATGCTAATCATGGAGCGCTCAAAATTCTTCTTTCAAGTTTGTTGCTTTTGTTGTTTGTTTGAAAAAATTTGCTGCCGAAGCCCAACACGTTAAACACGTTCAGAGGTGATGCTGGTCGATCATATCTCATTTGTCGACATAGCGACAAGAATTGACTGAAAATTCCATTTTTGGGTCATTTGTTGCAAGAGTTGCCCAGGATACACAGTTGCAGCTTGAAAGGGAAGTTCTGCCCCACTCGGCGGTGCATTATGGCTTGGCTGGCACGCGGGGCCGCAAAGTTGAAGGAGTGCAAAAATGGACCAACGATTGGATCGCTGCCAAATCAATATCATTCTTTCGACACAGTTTCGTGCCATGTCCACCGAAAGATGGGAAAAAGTGGGAAATATTTTAAAATGCTGTAGAAAAAGGTGGGAAAGTTTTTTGATTAATTGTAACAATTCTCCACAACGAAAAACCTTAATATAATATTTGAGCCGCATAAGGGTTTCACATGAAAGCGATCCTAATAAGCCCGGTATGCTTTAAAAATGCAGAACATAATAAATGTGTCATAGAACATTCTTCATATTCAATAAATTGGAAATAATTTGGATATAATTTTAAATTGATGTTTTTATTAGATTGGACAATGTTCGAACGAGATTTATTTTTATGTTTATTATTCCAAGTGTTATATATTTAATCGATAATAAAAATTTTAAATTAGATCACATAAAATTTCCATTCGAATCGGAAATCTCTAACAGGGATTATTTTTCGATTTATATATACAAATATCAAAAGACAATGTTAAACTAAATTAAATAAATTAGGTTTTGCATATGTTCCTACTCGGAGAAATTGTTTATGTGCTTCTTGTATGCATATATATATGTATGTATTTATGGATGCATATTATGTCTATATATATGTGTAGGTAAAGGGAAGTAGAATTTTTCTCATTGCCTGTACAGTTTTAGTATGTCTGTATGTTGCAAATAAATGCGAACGTAGACATAAAAATAGGTATCAAATAAATAGGAATTTCTTTAATTAAAACTAATGACTTGGAGAAAGAAAAATAGTATCCTAAGAAAAAAAAAAAAAAAAAAAAAAAAAAAAATAGTAATAAAAACTATTTACTATTTAAATTGAATGAAAATGAAGACATTCACGCTATAAATTATCCTAGTGTTCGCCGCTCAAATTAATGTATTGCGAAGAAGAACTTTGCAACTAATCGATAAACTAAACAAAATACACACAAACATGTCGCAAGAGACATATGCAATATGTAAAGTGTACGTGATAGGTATCCGATTTAAACTAGGCTTTTTGTTTCTTAATTCTTGCGCGTTCAGTGGGGTCGCCTCTTTTTTTTTTTGCTTGAAGTAGTACTAATTACTCTTACGGTCATAATCGTCGGTCTCATCTTCTTCAGGTGAATATTTAGTGCAGGATCGTTCATTACCGCTACGTCCAAGGGAGGTGGGACTATCCTGTATATGTTTTTGATAGGAACGTCTGCCGCGCGGTGATTGCTCCATGTGCATGCTTATTTCGGGTGGCGCGTCACTTGAAGCTCTTGAATCAACATCATCGCCTAGATCCTCGTCGTCTTCGTCATCATAATCAACACTGTCACCATTCACCGAGCCGCTAGGGCTGCCCGGTGGGCTAAGTGCTTGTATCAGTTTACCTTTTGATTCATTCCATAAATGATTAAGACGATCGCGTCCAAACAATAGCAAGAATGCGTCAATAAATTCACGTGATTTCTCCTCCCACTTGGTTATAATATCACCCTTAACTTTTGTCAATTCACGCCGACCACGATCTTTAAGTTCGTCCATTTTATTTTGTAAGCGAAACTTCTTCTCCGATAAGAACGAAACATTAAGCTCTTTGGCAGAATAACCTCTGGCCAGGTTACGCCGCACATATAAATCATAATCTTTAACAATGCGCGCCACAATGTCCGAAGTTGAAACACCTAAAATTTGACATATTTGATTTTCAATTTAAAAGTTAAAATTTAAAAATTTTTAAAAAAGAAAAATTCTAGTTAAAGATGTAACCTAAACAGAATTTTTACAAAATTGTGAACAACTTTTGCACTATTTTTTAGAAAATCTTTTGAAGGATTGGATTTTAAAGAGTTATCGAAAAAAAAAAAAAAAAAAACGTTAATAGATGAAAGGCAAACCTAAGAAATGAAAGGTAAAAAAAAAAAAAATGAAAATGTTTCAAAGCCTCCGAAGTTTACTCACCTTCAGTACGTTCAGTGGCTACAAACATGCCTTTGGCCTTTAACCAGCCATAAATATCATCCACGCCAACACCGGTATAGGGAATGTCATCGTGAGCAACGAAATCTATTTTATTCGCAGTTATAAACTCTTCATTTAAAGTCCATGGAGCATCTGAGATAATCTAAATAACCGAAACTATTATTTATGCATATTAAATGCGAAGTGACAAGAACTTGGTTACCTCATCTACATAACGACAATGTCTGACGCCTTCATAACGCTCAAAATCGCTCATCACAGTGCGTCCTTTCATACGATGCGTAAGTTCATCATTACATATGCCCACAATCAGGTAAACATTGGGAAAAATATTTTTAGCCTAATGTTATATAAAATGTTGTATAAAATTGTAGCGATATTAACAAAAAAAAAAAAAAAAAAATCGAAATTCGCCCCTGACCTGCATTAACTGTCTGGCATGACCTTGATGAAATAAATCGTATATTCCATCTGCATAGACGCGTACTCGCCGAGATGCTTCACCGTTTCGCGCCATCTGATATGTTATCTTTTGTGTATAATCGCAACGCTGACGTTCTTGTACGGCCTCATCGTCGGTGGAAAATGGTGCGGGCTTACATATCGTCTAAAATATTATAATAATAAAAAAAAAAAAGTATAAAATGAAAAATGATTTACTTATTCGCTTTTCAAAAACTCATTCACACACGATAATATCAAGTATTATTATTATTATTATTATTATTATTATTATTATTATTAATTTCGCCAGAGAAATAAATTCTAAGACTAAACTCTTAAAAGCACTAGCATCTAAGGCTATCGGCCTTTATTAAAAACTCTACCGCACTTGAGATTCGAACCCACGACCACTGAGTTGCTAGTCGAGACTCTTGCCTACTCGGCCACCCAGGCGGATAATATCAAGTAATATTTACGTATTCACCGAAATTCTCACCGGTTAGCTCGACTAATTTACATATCATTTAATCATTATAATTTTCTTGCAAATACATATTGTACATTGTTTATACGCTTTAGGAATATATATGCAGATGATGAAGGAAAACTGATGAAAACAGTTGAAAAATAATAATTTTCAGTTATATTTCATGTTTTAAGCAAACAACAACAATTCAGTTCATTGAACAAGTCAGTCATAGGCAAGCGTTCTGTTGTAACATTCTATTTGTGCCTATTGTGTTACACAGATGGATGATATATATAGGGCATTGTATCGCTGCTTGTTTGCTTTCCATTTTTTTCCATTATATTGCTTCTACGTTTATTTCAGTTAAAAGGAATTCATGCTTACGATGTATCGTTAGACTAAATGGGGGAATGGAGAAAGAAAATATATATATATTTCATGAAATTCGCCTTTTTAAGAACGTGTAACGGGCTCCCTCTCTCCCTACTCGTGCGAATATGTAGAAAATTACAAGAAATTCTGAATAAAAGTTGTTCATATTTTATCCAAGCACTGTCTCTATCTTCTATATATGTATCAATTTTTTCATGGGGCTTGATATGCAGGGATTCGATGGTCTCGCTCCGCCGTCTCTAGCATAGAATGCAAGAGCAACATGTTATCTTAATCACCTCGACAGCATTTTGTAGATTGGGAAGACCGCCGCATATGTATATATATATACATGTATATATATTTTTAAATCCAAGCTTTAATCTATATATAATGTTTTCGACTTTAGCATTTGATGATATTGATATTAAAAAGAAATTTAATAATGCGATATTTTTGTCTTGTAATTGCTATGATATATTGACTCGAGACATAAGCAGATAGGTGGAATCTATTTTTCATATTTATCTACTATAAGTCATCGAAACAAACGAGTTTTTTTTTCAACGATGTAGATGAGGGAGGATTCAGTTAGTCTTCTGTCAACTTTTTTATGCGGTGCATATCGCATTCAACTGGGTTTCTTAACCAAAACCGTATATGTCGAATATATACGGTAATGTTTTCGAAAGTTAAACCAGGCAATAGAGTTAAAAAATATGCAGCGTACGTGATGTAGGATTGATAATTGAAATTAATTTTGTCAAATTCCGCTCTAGAGATGCGACCTTAAAGACGAACCGAAGGCGGAAAATCATTCTGACTTTGACAACCTTTTAAAGGCAGTATTGGAGCAAAATCCATACCCATCAATAAGGGATATAGCGAAAAGCTTGAATACCTTGCAAACAACTGAACTAAATTATAAGAATTTTTTTTTCCAATGAAAGCAAAATACATGTTTGGTAAAAAAAAAAAAAAAAAAAAAAACAAGAGTTACTTACGATTCGATCTAATATTATATGGCCGGTATGGCCGGTTTAACGGTGACAATCATAAATAATTCGACTTATGATGACTAATAAACCCATATAACAACTTCAAGACGTAATCCTGTGTGTATTTCAGCTCAGATTAAATATAAAAATTCACTTCTCTCAGTGTAATCCTCTCTTAATTACGATCTTCCCAATGTTTGTTTTTTTGCTTGCATTTGGCACTTGTTGGCGACAAGTTCGAATAATGAAATTATTGAAAAATTCATCGCTGTGTGTACACAATTTACGTCCTTAATTTCATGTCATGTCCCACTTATTTAATGGTATGTACAAAATTTGAATATGTATGTATATTTTCGTATTTTTATTTATTAGATAAAAGTATGGCGAGGCATCTTTGTAATGTTGTCGTCAATTAGAAATCACAATTTACTTATTTATAGTACGTAAAAAACGATTGTAGCGTTAAGTTTGTTTGTGTGTGATCATCTTCCATCTGTTACGCGCAATGCAAATGTATAAAAGCATGATATATATGTGCATTTGAAATTTCCTATTTATCTATACAATTTTTTATATATATACATATATATAAAGAATCATACCATTCTTAGTTATTTTGTTTTCCTCCCGGTCATTACTAGAAAATTTTTATCTTACTCGCACATAGGCATCTCATTCATCATTTATAGTTGTAAGTTATTATAAGAAGTGCACATGATTGTGTACGTTTTGGATATGTTTAAAGAAATTAAATAAATATTATTGTTGTTATATGAGTTTTTGTAAACAAGCTTCACACGATAAATAAGAATAAGACGAGGAGGATGACACAACAAAGTGGCGTGGTTTTCTTCGTGACTAAGCAAAATGTATTGCTGCACGATTGCTCGATTCTTTGCATATATATGTGAAAGTTTTGTTATAAATAAATACCCTTAAGTGCACGACGACGATCGTTTATCAATGTTATAGTTTATAGCTGATAGCAAGTTTCATTTTTTATTTATGGATTAGGAGTGCATCGGGAGAGTGACGCAGAGACAACAGCAAATGTAAACAAGTAAAGATATTTGTGTATATGCCCCTTTTACATTCATTAATCAATAGATATAATAAAATTGCCTTCGAATCGAATCGAATGATACGTTGGCTGAGAGAAATTTCTTAAAGATTTTCGACTTGTTCTTTCGAATTGTTTAACCGCTTGCGGCAAATGATTTGCATTTTTATTTACACTAAATGCTTATGTCATTCAATCAAGGATACATGCGTGCTATAAGTTTAAGCTTCTTTTCTTTTATCGTTTTTCATGAGCCCCATGATCTCAAAAAAGAGAAAAAATAACATTTAATTACTTTTAACATTGCTTGAGCCGATTTCACCGATTGGTTCCCCTTTTGCAGCTAAAGATTAGAGGAGTCTCATAAAGTCAATGTTCACCCTTCCAACTTTTATAATTTCCGAGTAACGAGGAAAAATCCACCAATTTTCGCTACGAAGAACGGAGTTGCGTTCAGTTTATGCTCCACTGCAGCCTTCTGTCCGAACCAATTCCAATATCATGCTACGTGCAAAAGCTTCCAATATTCTTATCATATTTGAAGTCGATATTTTCGTGTATGCGACAAGAAGAGTAACAACAACAAACACCACGCAGTCCCAAAGACGGACAGACGTGGATTAGTCAATTCAGAATTTCACGCAACAAGATCAACAAGAATTTCATATGGTCTCTGAAGCTTGCTTTTGGGTGTTACATATGTTTGAGGAGAGCGCGAACAATACACCAAACTAGCACACAGACGGACAGACATGGCTAAATTAATTCAAAATTTCACTCCGATCAAGAATATATATGCATTTATATAGGATCGTTAAAGTTTCGTTTTCGATGTTACATACATTATGGATAAAAAATAATATATAAAAATGAATATAAGTACTTACGATAAAATCTGAGCTACCACTGCTAACACTGGGCATTTGAGTCGAGGATAACATTTCCAAGGGTGCAAATTTCTTTTTAACAGGACTTGTGTTTTCGACTGGCAAAATTGCTGCGTCTTCTTCTTGTACATCATCGATTTCACTTTGTGATATTGTCCGCGTATAATCTTTTAGTGCGTTAGTTTCGATCGTCGATTTCATATCAATATTGATTAAATCCTCGGATGTATTGTGTTTCATAGCTGCAGTAGTCTTTTGCTTATCTTTGGTATCGATTTCAAGAGTGGTGCCGTTGCGGGGTAATGTTAAATTGTGAGGCCTCTTGCGATTCGTTTGCGAAGCCGTTGTACTTGAGGCAGTTGTATGCGTATGCGTTGCCGTTATTAATTTGTTAGCTACTAAAGGGGAAGATGCCATCGCAATATTTGCAACAGTATGAAGAGATAAGAGGAGTAAAAGTAAAACAAAACAAACTAAAATTTTTCACAAATATCTCTGTGCATCAACGCAGAGTAGTGGTGAAATGAAATATATGCGTTTTCTTTCTCAATTTGATGTGGGGAATTGAAACTGATGCAAACAAAATAGATATTATATATATGTATATATATAAATGCATATATATACGCACATATATAAAAACATATATATATATATATATATATGTATATATATATATGTATAGATGATCGAGTTCAATGCAGTATTATGTTGATTTACAATGTTCGTTCACGCAAGATATACATGTATTGTTGTTGTTGTTGTTGTTGTTGTGTCATACAATTTCAATTGCTGTTGCTGTTGCCGTTACCGTAGCCGTTGTCGTTGAATTTGCTGTTATTTTATTCTAATTAGTTAATGAAAACTATTTTGTTGTATTTGTTGCGCATGAAACTGAAATTAGAAGAAATTCGAACATTTTACTTCAAATTTTTTTTCATTATTTATATCCTATGGAAATATTTATACAAATATAACAACAAAAATTACAATAAATTTGAACAAATGTTAAATGCAATATATACATAATATACATTCCCTAACAATAACGCATCTAATCAGTCAGTCTAGTGAGATATACGTTATGCATACATTTACATACATCTGACGAGACAATAAACCTATCGATGATAGATATTTATTGCGTTTTGTATTTGCTTCCTCAAAAGCATTTTTTAAGATCTTTAATCATTTTTCGGACTATAAGACGCACCGTTTCCCATAGAAAAATTGACTCACACTTTGGATGCGTAACATTAAAACAGTTTTTTTATAAATCATCTTTAAATTTCACGTATGTGGGAGGAAAGTAATATGAACAATACTGACACAAGTGATAGTACCGAGAGTGAAAATGAATTCCATATCGTTGAGTTCGGGTTAAGTTAATAATAAATAAAAATTTTGATCTGAAAGTAACAATAAAATATATCTTTGTAAAAATCGTTTAATAAATTTGAAGTGTGTCTCATTGTCCGGTGCGTCTTATAGTCTGGAAAATTCGATATATAAAGATTTTGCGAAAAAAAAAAATTTTCAAACTAAAAGTTCGAAGAGGTTGTCTTCATTAAGCCAATTACTTTCACTCGCTCAACGCTCAATTGATTTAGTTGAAGGAAATTCCTTGCATAACTTTTCATTTTGCTTAGGCTTTAGGCGAGAAAGCTCTTTAATAAACCAGGATTATTCAGCCCTATTTCGACATTATAACATTGTCATTTGTCATCAGAGGTTGTTTTTGAAACTTTACATTAATTTTGCCATTACAGAGGAATAATCGCACGAAAAAAGAGACACGTTTATGACTGTCTCTTCATGATATTCCCCATAGTATGATCTGCTACACCGCCGTATATCTTGTCCACGTAACTAATAATGATAGTATACGGAATACATTGTACGTATATATGGTCTGCGATTTCGTTGTTTACAAATTGGAACATATATCTATCATATATTGTTAATAAGAAATTGCAAAATACGAACGATATTTGAAACCATTCTTTCTTATACAAACTTCGGTCGTAATAACAATTAAAAATGTTTATAATTATATAGCTATATTGTGATTTCAATTGAGTAAAATAAATAAAATTAGAAAACAAATTTATGACATAATTCAAGCTAATCGGACCCCCTTCGACGACACCCAATGTCATTATAACATGAGATCGCAACTTATTTTATTTTAGTTTCTTATAGCAATTATCTGTCTTTCATATATGCTGTGTGAATATACTCTCCCGATTAACTGTTTTCTCTCAACGTTTTCTTCATTACATTCCATGGAACAAGCTTGCTAAACTTTTAATATATTTTTTATATCCATCACTGCGTAAATTAAATTCATTAAGAATTGGCTAACAATATCTATCGGTAACATATCTACACTCTTGATTAGCGTGAATAACTAAATTGATTTAATCATATCTGCTGTTGACCTCTTCACGTCACGATTATTTCTTCAAATCTTTGTCCAAAGGAATAAAACTTTATTTCAAAACAAATTATTATTATTATTATAATTTTTTTTTTGGGATAAATAAATTAAATTGGTGGCCAAGTCCACAATTAAACATCCCACACAATCCTACAGTTATTCATATAAAAACTTTTCAAAATAGAAATGAATAAGGAAAGTTGTCCGATCCGAACCATTCTTAATAGTTGTTGTCCTTGGGCCAAAACACGTCAGTGTATCAAATTTCATCAAAAAATCTCAAAAATTGCGGCCTAAAGTTTGAATACCGTAAAACAAAACGGATGGCCGGACAGACAAGTTCATATCCCTTCGGAAAATGATTCGGAAACAATCGGTAAAGTAGGTAGGTGGGGTTGGGGGTCTAGTCCTTCTAATTGTTGCATGCATCCGCACAAATTTAATACACCATTGCACTGGTATTGGATATAAAATTTGAGCACTAGCAACGTAAGCTAATTAAAATGAAGAAAAATTTATAATTTTCAAGTTTACTTAAAAAATTTTTCTCCATTAAGCACAAAAAACAACTCAATCGAGCTAAGAGTCCGCTCAAATAGGTCTTAAAATTGCATACAAACATTGCGTGGTATCTAAATTTTGCTTTTGATTCGTACGAGTACTTGTGAAGTATCAAAAAGTAAAAAAAAAAACCTAATTAATATATCAAAATGTAATGAGTGCAACGCAACGCAATGGAACACTCAATTAACAAATTATTTGGTAAGTCACATGCTTTGAATATCAAATCGGCACAAATTCACGGAGTACGCGTTCGCCTCAGCACACTTTGTGGGTTTAGCTTATACGTTTAGTTGTTGATTTTTTTTTTTTTTTTTTCGGCAGGCTTGCTGATTAAAGTTCATATATATATATACATATATACAATAATTGAAAACATTCCCCGATAACCTTTAGTAATTAAAACCATTATTAGAACATCATTGACGTATAAAATATTATTAGAAATATGTACATATATATATATGTGTATATATATATTTGTTAATTTTTGAAATGGGATGATTAACGAAAGATTTCTACCAAAAACTCATCGCAACTTCTTAAATAATTTATTTTTCTATCACTATTTAAAAAAACCGTCTCGCGAACGAGATTCCCTATGAAAATTATAATAATTGAAATCTATCGTTTTACCTCTGGTACTGAATCGACTAAGTTGTATTCGAGATATGCCATGTGCTTTTAAATCGTCTTTATTCTTCTATTATTGAAATTTTATGACTCTCAAACGTGTTGCAAAGTCACGTAAAATCCATAAATGCTGAGATATTCTTTTTAAATTTCATTTATTCTTTTTTTTTTTCTCTTTTCCGTAATAAAATTTTTGAAAAATCTGTATATTTTCAAAAGTTTTTAAGAGCAATTACTTGACACAGTCTTGACATCATGAGCTACTTGTTCTACTAATAGAAGAAGATAAAAGTTAATTTACTTCCTTCAATCGTATGTCAGTTGCAACCTGAAAACTGGACTTGCCTCCAAGTGCAAGCAATAGAATGTGGAAATTTTTATTTTAAATCGGATGACGTATAAATAGTTCGAATATAGATACTATTTTGTTTAAAACAAGATTATTTGGTGACCAATATACCATTTAACGTGATTAGCGATGACAGCTTTCGCAAAAATCGGTCCAGTGCTGATCCAAAGCACTTCGTTACTGCAGAGTGGAATTGACCTATTCGCCATTTTCGCGAAAGTAAGAAGTCTTTGCCTAAGATATCTCAACGGTATTCCGCGGAGTATTGCAAAATGGCCTTGTCTCGGAGATCACGGCATTTGGTGTCGCGTAGGCAGAGTTTCTTGCGCGATCGTTCGGTAAGTGTTGTAATTGGTGGATTTTTTTAAACTTATTTTATTTAAATGACGGTGCACACACGCAAAGCTCTGTTCCCTCCTCATCTCTCTTTCTGGTGTTCGCTAACGACTTCCTGTGCGTAACAGAAGATTCCATTTTGTCGACATTTAGCATTTTCGGCCATTCGGTTTCCTTCAGCAAACAAACGCTGCATGATGAATGGTCGATTAAATTGTGACCTTACAAAAATTTCTGAATGGTTGGTCAGGCAATAGGGCACGCATTGGAAAAGTAACGAAGAACTCCTCTCTTCTGATGGTGTCAATGTAGAAGAATCGGCAACCCTTCATACAAAGCGATTTTCGTTGAACAAAACATGCATTCGGAGCATCGGGGGACGCAATCACGGGCTTAACTTCATTAAAGCGGCGTAAAAAATACTTCAATGCAGCCGATATCCACATCATGTACGCCGCTTATATACGATTAAAATTAGAGTATAACTTGCATGTGTGGGCGGGAGCCTTCAGGTTTTGCTTGGCAGCCCTCGACCGCATATAGTGAAAGGCTCAAAAGCTCTTGGGCCCAAAACTTTCCATACGGGGTAATATAGGCTGTGTTGTGTTTATGTGCAGATCCATTCAGGACAGGATGTTCTATAGTGATAAAAGAGCTGCGTCCACAAACTAAGCCCTTTAACAGGATTATAAGACTTGCTCAGCGTTCTCACCCACTCGTCCCGAAGTTACCAATAGACCGCATAATGCACTACCGAGACTTCATCCATTCTTATTCCGCCTGCCCGCCTTTAAAACAACCCTACAAGCAGTACCTAATATCTTCATTTTTTAATCAAACCTTCGCAAACACTAATCGCTCTCTCCACATGGCTCTTCCTATAACCCTTCCTGATCACCACAGTGCCCGCACACATAGGAAACACCCTCTGAGTGGAAAAAAATTTTATATTTTCTTTCGCTGTTTATCTATTATTGTCAGCCCTTAAGATATTCGATTCTTACATATAGGACATGGTGGAATATGAAGAATAAAACAACATTATGCCAATATGTTTCAAACACTGTGAATAAAAGCAAAATAAGGAGGAGATCTTAAAAAAATCATACTTCAAAGAGATTTTTTATATTCTTTCATCCGAAGGTTCAAGATTGAGTGAATCGTTTGCAGAACTATAATTATTTTGTTCGTTTCAATAACACTTTATACGTTGTCCATTTTTAAGTTTAAATTTAACGCTTTCCACATAAACAAATATTTAGACCATATTAAAATTTTAAAAATAAGATTTTTTATAAGTCTAGTAAGGCTTTTTATGAGTTACTTGCATTCCCATAAAATTTGAAAACTGAAACATAAAATTGCGCTCATATATTCGAAGTCGACAATAATATAGGTTTTTGTTTAGCGATAAACATTACCAAAACGAAATCAAATCAGAAGGAAAGGTTTTCATAATTTATACTTTAAAAGATTATGAATTGCAGGCAACCGGTTGCTTTGGCTTATAAACGCAGAATGGAAATTTCTATGGTGGTGATTAGTTAAAAGTTGTGGAAAAGTGGTGACAATATGCCAAATTTATTTACTTTTCTTTTCCCTTCGACAGATCATATCATTTTTTTAAATTCTAACATTAAGTTTATATACATGTGCATATACTTTTGCTTTTCAAAAACGAATTTATTACCATGGAGAAAAAGGTATATCTTCGTCAAAGAGCTTCCCCTTTTGCTTACAAAATGTTTTCCAAAAAGGACCATTTATAAAAGTATTTTCTCATCTTTTTCCATTTCATACATATTTCCAAGAATTCATTCGAAGGTTAGACATTTATAAGTATATATACACTTTATGCTCAATTAAAGCTTTGAATGTGATTATTCGAAAAATATGTTTACATTAAATAGATATATAACTTCTAATATATATGCGACTATCTGTACATAAAAAAAAAGTTGTCACGTCATCTGTTTGCTGAACGAATTTTTCAGTTTTCATTTGATAATAAAATGTTGACATAACTACACGTTTTTCCTAGCTGTAGCAGAAAGCAATTGGCTCAATAATCGTACCAGAGGTTTATACACACGCCCTATTTAACTCGTTTAATATTTTAAATTTTTAATTTGTTCGCTTTAATGAATTTTAACAAGTTGCTTCTAGTTACACAATCAAGAAGTCGTTGATTTCGCAATCTGACGTGTATAATTTATTTTATCAAGACTCACCTTGCACTTCTTCAGCACAATAATATTATATTCGTATATATGTATATACATATATATGCGTAAAAAGCTTAACTGTTGTTCTCGACTTTCTTTTCTTTTCCTTATGAAGATGTTAGATGAAGAGCCGATGCAATTTATTAGCGTGTTTTTATTTATGACGCAATTCTTATTTCTTTTAAATTAATATACACAAAGTGCCTTTCACTAACTCAATCAATTTCTTACTTATTTTAATGAAAATTAGAACGGAACTGAGAAAATTAAATTGGTCACAGAAATGACATGGGCCAAATACAAAAAAAAAGAGAACTATGCACACATACCAAGCATTTCAAGCCGCAAGTAGTTAACAGATAGAAACGAAATGCTTATCAGCCTTACCATATCGCTTGAGAATTAAAAATAAGAAAACTAAAAACAATTATGAAAAGTAGCAATAAGTATTTAAGCATAAATAGATGTTTTCAAAAATTGGGAAAAAAATTGGTTTACTCACTGTCATAATATCGTTAAATTTCATGTTATTACGAAAAGGCATTACACGCTTGAAAATCACTCATCAAAATAATACGATACAATAATTCAATTTAAAAATTTATTTATTATTTGATCTTCATCTTTCATAAAATAATATATTGCATAAATAAAGATTTCAAATTATATAATTGAGAAAAGACTTAAAATAATTCAATATAAAAATAAAAGTTAACATATAACCTGTAAAATTGAAAGCTGTAGTATTTCTTTTCTCTTGTTATCTCCTGTTTGCCAACCCTGGCATTGTCTGGCAAAACATCGAATCAATGTGCTCAATTTTAATTTCAATGCTGAGCCGATAGCCTGTGTTGCTAGTGCTCAATGTCTTTTTTTAGTCTAAGAATTCATTTCATTAGTCTAAAATTAAAATAATAATAATAATAATAATAATAATAATAATAATAATTTCAATGCTTAATAGGCGCGCACAATTTCTTTCTATTTTATGCCTAAGGGCTGTCAGTACAAGAAAATCATTGCTTTTAAAGATTTGAAAATTAATATAGGAATGTCGATAAGCTACTGACGCATTGAGATGCCATTTGCGTTTTCGGGTTCAAAACTCTCAAGTAGTAAATACAATGGGCAGTCGAATTACATGCTTTACATAAACATGTAAACAAACGCATGTGAATAGAATTAAAAATAAAGAAATCAGCGTAAACGCAAATAAAATATTATAAAAAAAAACAATAAGAAATTTTAATATAAAATTAAATACGCTTGTTTCTTTATTAGTGATGAAGAAGATTGACTTTATGTATTAGATATATTTTTGGGTGTTAATCTATCCATAATTTGGGAACTACCGTTTACCACTTTTTAATAAAACAATTTGATGAATATAAATGGTTTTTATTTTATTTATTTTTCATTTCTTACAAAATAAATTGTATAAGCCTAAATTGCAAATTAAATAACATAAAAAAAAGTTACATAAGTGTAAGATAGACATATATTAAATTAATAACTTCAACACTTAAAAGAAACGATCATCATTTCTTTTTGTTGTATTTGTATGCATACATGTAAAGACATATGATTGGCTAATTCCCATAAAGTTTTGTAAAAAGTCGGCAGAGATGAAGTGCCATCGCGAAACCAGGAATGACGCCTCATTGGGTCAGCCCCCACAGAGGGAATCGCCAATTGTATTAAAAAAATGTTACCTCAAGAAGGGAACCAATGAATATAAGTTCACGATGAACACAATGCTAAAACAAAAGATTATATCAATTATTTAAATTATTTATTTATTTATTGACGTTTCATTAAGCAGTTTTACAATAAATGTTGAAAAGATGTGTGTATGATTATTTTAAACATGTCTGCGAAAATAGTAGCTAGTTTCACAAACTAGGAAAGCAAAATGGAAGTCAAACGATTAAAAAGCCGAATTCTTATCAAAATAGAATAATCTATTGATAAGAGATACAATACAATTTTTATATATATGAATCGACCGAATTGTTGATATTAGTGTAAAAAACGACTAAGAATTAGAAAAGAAAAAATTGTATTCGATTAAAAATTAAGATTAAATGCGCAAGGAAATGAAGGGAAGACTGACCGCTTCGAGCAGAAGTACATTGTCAACGTGTGATTGTAAAATGGAAATGCGTAGAGCGCTACTTACCATTTTCACTCGAAACATAATCTCTGCAATGCTGAACAAATGCTTGCAAATATCATGACCTTTTCTACTGGGAACTTAAGGATTATCAACTTAACTTGTTAGGAATGGTAGCGTTAAAAATGGTACGACAGCTTATAATATTAATAAAAAAAAACACTCTATATACTTCGATGTATAATCGAAAAACAGTTAAAGCTTGTCATTTTCAGTTTCATAAATACACAATTGTTTAATTCTTACTCTCGTGGATTCATTTTGTTGAGTACTTTTTTCTTCATTTCGCGTTGGCACCAATTATGCGCAATATTACTGTTTCATTTTGATGGGACTGATGTTCTACAAATTCATTTGCGCGTATGTTGTCGGGTATTGCAATTGGTGTATTATTACCCAAACGAACGAACAATAACTGCACTTAGCGAAGTGGTGTAGAGTATGTAATTGTCGACATCGCGATAATGTTCCTACTTGTTTAATAAAACAGAAAGTGTAGAAATCATGTACTTGTCCTCAATTTTGCCCACCTTACTATTTACGAATTATTGCTAATTGTGGGCGTGTCATACGATCGATCACAATCCTCCTTGCATAAATTCTTTACATAACACTAGGAAATACTTACCAATATTTGAATCAGTCTTCACTATTATGACTTGCAATTTTTAACTATTATTAACAGATATTTTCGCAAATATTTCCCGGAACTGCTTCAAAAAGATCTTGTTAATGGTTATATCAAATTTCGAAGCAGGTATTATAAATTAGTGTTCCTTTTTGCTTACGACAGATTAAAACATATCATAAATGAATATTACTTTTTAGAAGAAATATTTATTTAATTATGAGAAGTTTAAATGTTGGAACAAAATTGGCCGACTGTTCGACCCTCATAAAGAATAAAATAATAATATTAATTAGATATTTTCTTTTTTATAATAACTGAGCCGCCCTTGATTTCCTGTATGGAATGTTGAAAGTCTTGCGAGTAACATCAACATTTGCTATGAATAGTAGGTAAGTACGCTGCACGCCCATTCTGAAAGTCTATTACAAACGCGCTTTACTGAAGTACCACTAATAGATCACAAAGTGAGAAAACCTAATCGAGCCAAAGGCTTGCGATGATGAAGTATATGCGTTTAATGCTTTTCGATATTTACCTAAGGAGTAGTATATACAAGTAATTACCCGAGGTTTTAATCCTGCTATTTAGTGTACCTAGCACAGAATACAAATTCAATCGTACGATTCATAAACAAATAAAATTTTGAAAACGCCAAATAAACAAAATTTAGTGTTATGTTCTAAAGTACTCAAACCTATGTATGCATGCAATGAATCGTACAATCGAAATGCAATGGTGCGCTCTACTGTGTCTTCAACGCAGTCTAAGCAATAGAAATTAATAGGCGCTTGCACGTATTTCATCGATCATCAATCAAAGTAATGCGAAGTATCAATGTACACAATGGTTAAATTCGATGATGTTGACCTTTCTCTATTCACAAATCCACTTGACTTCAGCCATCATCTCTCACTTTCCCTAATCTAATTTATCATCGTTCCCGTAGCCTGGTAAACCTATTGTACTCACAAACCCACTTGGCTGCGGCC